ACCTTTCAAAGAGAGATTCAGACCCTAGGAGTTGATGCTCTGCCCAGGAAAATGTGGAAGCTTTGGTCATCGCCCATTGAAAAACTTTTAAATGCCACTTAAAACAGAAGTCATTAGGAAGTATATTATAAGACAGTAATTACTACGCTAAAAGCATTGCTAATTCCTGGATTCATCATAGGAACTTCCAGTTTAATTCTGTATTATCCCAACATATATTTCAAAGATAAAACAGGAGCACTCATCCTAAGCTGTTTGACTCCCTGGGATAGCATTTGCCTTCTACTGAAGATGAGAGAAGAATTTTAGGCCAGCCATTTCCTTTAATTGCCTTAATTAAAGTGTAAAATTTAGTTTAAAAATACTCTTTGCAGTAACTTTATAATGGGGCCTTTGACAAAAGCAATTTTCTAAGTAGCATTAGTATCTTTCTAAGCACGATGAACTAAAATGAACAATGGAAACACCCGCCAGAAAGCCTATACAATATGTAGGTCTAATTTTCTACAATTATTTCAAATGGTATGTACATTAAGAATTAAAGCTGGGCTGGAAAAAAATCACTTGAAAACTTGGATACTTTCCAAAATTGGTATTAAAGAATTGTTTTCTGAATGCATGAGTTTTTGATCAGCTCATTTACATATTGCAGTGTCCTGTGCCCACTGTACAAGATAAAGATAAGCAAATATGAAAAACAGCTTCAAAACAGTTAACATTTTGACTGAATCCATTCAGTTCTTTTTCTTCATAAAAAGAAACTTACAAACTTGATACTATTTTCTGATATGCCCTTTTTATGCTGATTCATAAACAGATTTCCATGTCATTTATCCATTTACGGTAAATGACATATACAAAGCACTCTATTTGCATATCAATGTGCCATAATTTATTCAGCTGGTATCCATTCTAGAAAACTGAGTAGTTACCATGTTTTCTTTTCTATAGAATCAAACATCTACTCAACAGCATTTTTATATACAAATGCTTTCTCTGCCTTGTATTTATTTTTTTGAGATTTACTCCTATTTTTTTTAACTATGTGTAGTGAGTATATGTGTATGAGTGCAGTGCCCATGGACACCAGAAGAGGCAGCAGATCTCCCAGGACTGGAGTTCCAGGTGACTGTAAACTGTCAGATATGGTTGCTGAGAGCCAAACTTGGCTCTTCTGGAAGAGCAGCATGTACTCTTAACCCTGAGCTGTCTCTCCAGCCATGAAATGTGCTCTTAGCCACTGAGCCAATTCTTCACTCCCTCATCTGCATTTTAATATTATTCATTCTAGGTCTCATCATATTTTGTCCTTTGGAGGTTATTTAATTCTTTCTGCTTGTATATTTTCAAAGTACATGCATATCGTGCACTCATCACCTGCACTCGCATGTATTAGCATCATTGCTCTCTGGATGTTTCTCCTGACTGTGGCTCTTAGTATGCCAGGCTCTTTCTTGGTGTTAGACAATAAAATGATCAAGGCATAATCCTTCTGCCCAAAAGCACCTTAATCTAGTTGGAGCAGGAGATACTTAGAACTCAGTGTACAACAGAAGCAAAAATGATACCAAGGAGGCACAGAAAAGAGAATGACTAGAGCAGCTCAGGAAGCGGCTCCAAGGACACCCTGAGAAAAGTGTGGAGGGCTTTTGACAGATGAGAAAAAAAAAACACTCATGGCAGAAGACAGCCTGAGCATAGGCCAAAGAAGTAAATGTGTCTGGTGTCCTCAGACAGAGATTGAGTGCCATATCATGATGTATATGGATCAGGAGAAGACAGGGCACGGTTATGCTGCAAAGAGTTACATCACCATCCTCCCCAATTATGGCTTCTGTCTCCAGGAAGTGAGAAGTCAACAACTATCCTACCCCATTTCTTTTGCTATAACTCAATAGCATTGACTGCTTAATTTATTAAAAGGCTTATTTTACTCATGCTTCTTGACATTGGAAGGCTCGGAGACTGAATTTGGTGAAGGGCTTCTTGTTATGGAGACTCTGCAGTATCTTAAATTAGGACAAGCCACTACAATGCAAAAAGACCTCATGGAAAATGTCCCAATGTCCTTTATAACAGACCCATTCTCACAATAGCCAACTTACAGTCAACCATTAACTATTGAGGACAGAATTTTATGACTTATTCATATCTTAAATGTCTTTTCTCTTAACCCCACAGTGGGGACTTCTTAGCATGCCTTCTCCTGGAAATAGTCTTTAGCAGTGAGTATTCTGAGCAGCTCAGGGTTTCCTGAAACAGTCTCAGGTAGAGAATGGGAGCTCCCCCTGGCTGTCAGTTCTAGCCACAGTGTGTCCAGCACAATGCCTCAGGCATTTCCATGAGAACTGGAGATCTGATTCAAGTGAGAAGGAAGCTTTCTTGTCTCGCTTAATTCAGCTTGTGAATTAAGTGAATCAGAAGTTGCCTTCCTCATTATCTAACTTTTGGGCCTGAAAAGATAAAATGCCCATGAGCAGATCTCCTACAAACACCTCCAGGAAGCTAAGCAGGGAATCCAGGAAAGACAGGACTTAGCTCAATGCCCCTGGTGTCTAAAGATGCTGAGAGGACCAGTTCAGGCCTTCAGCCCTGGGCTCCTACACCAGTGGAATGAATTCAGTACATCCCAGCACATACTCACATGAGAGGCTGTGTGTCTTCTGTTTCCTGCTCTTGGCAAAAACAGTATGCCATATGCTGGGGGGTGGAATTCAAACCTGTAGGGAATGTGCGTGATTGGAAAACCTATGTGGTGTATTCATGTCTATTACTGCTGTGTTTGTGTAAACATACATCCACGACTTTGAACAGTGTCCTGAGAACACCAAATCAGTCTAGGCAGCATCCAGAGCACCTGTTCTGACACTCAGTGAGGTGATTGTTTTCAATGAACAAATTCAATCCCTTCTGCATGCCTGTGCACATCAGGGATTTATACAGAAGAATTCATTCTTCAAGTCCTGCCCTGAAGCCATAGCTCAATGGACAAGGATGGAAGGGGAACACCCATTTGTTTTTAGTCTAAGTATAAATATTGGAGATGTTTATAACTGGATAGTTGTTTTGCAACAGAAATAAAATCAGATTATGAAACTTAGGGTGAAAAAATAGACTCTTGGGAATGGGACCAAGAACATGCTCTATACACCGGCCTTTTAGTCAAAGCCACATAGTGTGATTTATGGCATCCCTTCCAGATACCTGATTTTATTGGTTTGCTGGGAATTTGTTTGTTTTTCAAGGAAACTGTACATGGGGAAGCAAAATGTTCAGTTCTTATTTGCCAAATTCCTGCCCACCTTGGCAAGGTGTTATGCTAGGAAATGTACAATAAAGCCTCCCTCTAGAAAAGTTTGTGTTCCAAGTACTATGATATACAAATGGCATTGCAGATGGTCATCATAGCCAAAGGCCTCTGAAAAATGACTCTCTTTATTGAGAATATTTGTGAGGGCTGGGAGAGAAGGCTCAGCAGTTAAGAGTGCCTGCTATCTTGCCAAGGACCAGAATTAGATTCCCAGAACCCTTTGGGGCAGCTCACTGTAACTCTAACTCCTGGGGATCTGATGCCCTCTTCTGGCCTCCACAGGCACTTACATACACACACACACACACACACACACACACACACACACACAAACACACACCTAAAATATTAAATTAAAATCTATTCTAAAGAGTTTATGATCAAAATTGAGCTATTTCCACCAATAAATTCATTCTACTTTCCTTATGAATTTTAATGAGTGAAGCAAATCTTAGGTTTAATACCCAATTGGAAGCACTGACATCTTTAATGAAGATAACCCTCAGGCAATGCCATTCAGAAATCTATTGGTGGACATTTCTTGGTTGATATGTTTCTGTTTGAGTCCATGTCAAGATGACTTTTTTGGAGCTAAACACATTTCTTAAAGTCAGTGAGGCAGCTCTCCTTCATCTGGAAACCCCCACCCCCACCCCAGGGGTTGTTGGCCCTATGACTTCACTTTTTCCTCTGTGGTCCTTATGACCTCAAACATTCCCATCATTTGGCATGTGAATCATAGCTGATGGTATTGAGAAGTGTAACTCCAGTTTGAGCTTCTTTTCTGAACTCCAATCTGTCCACACTAACACTTCCATTAAATTTCAGGTATGCACCTTCAACATAACATGGGATCCTGGCCTATCACCCCAACCGCATTCTCACACATCCATCTCTTTCTCAGCAACTGAGAACTTCCTTCTTTGCAGTTTGTCAGACTGCACAGAAGAGTCAGTTAAAGTCTCTCTTCTCCGGCATTCCACATGCTGCCAGCCCCACATCAGAAAGCATTCCTTCACCACATCCATGTTCAACGGACATGTCACATTCTTCCCCTGATACCCTCTGGTACTCAGAAGATGTAGAATCAGTGCTTCCTAACCACTGCCAACACCAGATCCTTGCTCAAGCTGCCCTTCTTGCTCAATGCTATGCCTACATTCCTGTGGGAGGCCATCAAATGGTGCCTGTCTTCTATCCGTTGTCCTTCAATGTTTTCCAGCAGTAGCTGGAAGAATCCTGTTCATGTCTAAGGCATAATCCATGACTCCCATCTCAAAACTGTCAAGTGCTTTCAGAGTCTCACCCATGGCTAGAACCCCCATCACCTTCTGTAGTACCTGGTAGATTCTCAATGAGTATATGCTGAAGTGATTCGTTATTTAGTTTCTTCTTTGGAGGGGGTGGTATCTTGTTATCCATATGTCTACTGGCCCCTGAATTTTTCTCAGGGAAAATTAACTTGAAGGAGGTATATATTAATAATAACCAAAGAATTTTTATATTTGTTTTTGGTTTCCCAGTTTTAATTTTGTTCTATTCTGCAAACTTAAGATTTCATTTCTGTAAAGCCAGTACTATTTCTACAATGGCCTTTTCTCTGGGGTTGGGGAGGTCTTTCATAAATCAAGAAATGGCAGTATCTTGGTGCTATGTTCTTGAGCTGTCATTCTTGTGTCACTTCTCACAGGCATCAACAGGAAGGTTGTGTACTCCCTGGAGGACTCAGCCAGTGGGGTCTTCTCCATCGACAGCTCTTCTGGTGTCATCATCCTGGAGCGGCCTCTAGACAGAGAGCAGCAGTCATCATATAACATCAGTGTGCGGGCCACCGACCAGAGTCCAAGACAATCCCTCTCCTCTCTCGCCTCTGTCACCATCACTGTACTGGACATCAATGACAACCCACCAGTGTTTGAGAGGAGGGATTACCTAGTAACAGTGCCTGAGGACACTTCCCTTGGTACCCAAGTCCTCTCTGTTTTCGCCACCAGCAAAGATATTGGCACAAATGCTGAGATAACGTATCTCATCCGGTCTGGGAATGAACAAGGGAAATTTAGAATCAACCCAAAGACAGGTGAGTAAATGACAATTCCAATAAGACCTCCTGTTTCTTCTCCCATTCCATCACCCCTCTTAGTGGGATCTGTGTGTTCCTTCTGCCTCCCTTGCATGGCCTGCATGCAGACCTCAGTTTCTTGCTCCTAACAAATGGCCCTTCAAAATTTCAAGCTCCAAGCAGTGGAGCAAATTCCTGACCTGTGAGTTGACCACAGAACATCTAGGTAGGAATCTTAGGTCAGCCATGTGTTCCCTAAGCAGCAACTATGGTATTTACATTCAAGTGCAAGAGTATACTTGTGTCTCCTTTCTGTTTGTATTTCTGCTTGGTGACTATGGTAGGAAGGGTAACAGGAAATGAGCTGCCTCTGTACCCCACCCACAGGTAGATGACCACTCTCTGGTCAGCATCCATGACTGACATTGGCCTTGATCCCCTGCTCAACAAATGGGGGCTTTGTTGTTGTCAATCCAGAATGTATGTATCTGGATGGTCTCCCACACATCTCAATTTAGAGTACCTTTGTTATGTTCCTTTCTGAATGGACTGCGGTCTAGTAGTCAAGACTGTTCCCATTTTCCAGGCAGGTGGTAAGTTCCTCACACTGCTGACCATTGCCCATTCGCTAAGTCACTCAAGAAGTGTATGGCTGCTGTGAAAGATGGCAGAGGAATCCTGCTTCTCCTTAGTGCACAGAAAAAGGGTACTACTATGATCAACAACACTCAATTAATGTTGCCAGTATTCTACATTCCTACTAAGTCTTTGGCTATAACTCACATATCCCAAATGAGCAAAACAGAACTTTTGAGCAGTTAAATAATTTCCTCAGCCTTTACTATTCATAAGTGGATTATCCAATATTTGAATTTTCTTTCTGACTCAGAAAGGCACACTCTAACCCTGTCACAGCATAACTACTGTGTATAAATGTAAAAATGTACTTTTGAGTAAATGAAAGTGGAGTGTTGACTGAAGGGCTGCATTAGCAATTCCTCCCAGCAGAAAGTGTTTATTAAGGCCATTACTTCCTATCAAACTGTATGAAGATTCCACTCACTAAGATATGTATTTGCTTTACCCTGTCCAGCTATGACATTCTATATGAACACCATGGGAGGTGGCTAAGGATAGTTTAAATCTGGCATTAGCTAACTAAACTGATGAGTATTGAGTATTGCATGCTGTGTGTGCTCAAAGATGATCCATAGTCCGTAAGGCTAAGATTTCTTTATTCAGATAAACACCAGCCCAAACGCAAGCCAGAGCGTGCCCAGAGGCCGCAAGCTAGCATGGCCAGAGAGAAGGCATCCACATGTGCATGGTCCCTTAAGAATTGTCCTCGAGTCATCTTTGATCTCTCCTGGCCACGCCCTTATGGGCGTGGCCAGGCACACCTGTAGGGGCTAGTAGGAGGCGAGGCTACAGTGTCTCCCTACACTAAACTGGCAAAGTTAAACTCCAAGGGTAGTAAGTGCCCAGAGAATTCAATTATTGAATCAAAATGGCCTCTTGGTAAATATACAATCTCTGTTTCCATCGTAATTTGAAGGATCCTAATGGCAGACTTAGCCCTGGAGTTCTCTGGCTAGCCCAAGAAAAATGACCCTCTCATTTGTCCTAATGATAGTTTTCCAAGTGAGAGAAAGACAAAAACCTTGGAACTAAATTGTGGACACAATGACTAACTACCAACTAGAGAACACTGCACAGTGTCACTACCAGGCAGGGCTGGGACAGGAAGGGTGATCCACTCTCAGAGTTCATCTTAGAGGTTGTCCTCAACTAGAAGCCTTCTTTTGTTCTCCACACTTGATTCCTTGTGGTGGCATCACCTGAGCTATGCGGGTGTGAACACCTGGGCTGTGCTGTTTTCTTTCAGGAGCTCCTTTCACCTCATGTCACCCTGCCTTGAGATTCCCCATGTCAGTGGTGTCCTCGGCCTCTGTGCACAATAGTTCTAAATGGACACATTATAGATTGGCATAGCAGCTATGTGGTTAATTGAATCTAGTGTTGGCTGAGAGTGGCTACCAGATGCCAGGGAGCAGTGCACCCCAGTTACAACCACATATCATTTGTTCTTCCTCCCCTGGGTTCTCTCAGGAACTTGAGAGATACTACTCAGGGTGTTTGTCCCTGTCCAGCTCTCTGGCTTCACAAGCAGAGATGTCCATGCTGCCTGAAAGAAGCCCCGGAGTTACCACAGATACCTGGGAACACTGTCCATTTCTTCAGAAGTGTGTCTGATAGATGGCTCTGCTTTAACCAACAGTGTTCATCAGACTTCCATGAAGCTTTCAGATACTCAAAAAACAAACTCCCAATGTGTAATCTTGGCTGGAGATGATGTAAATTGCATTGTGCCCACAGAACAACTGAACCATGTTTTCCCTTAATCAAATATAAAGTTACCTATTTTCCTTTGAAGGGGGTATTTCTGTCTTGGAAGCTCTGGACTATGAGACATGCAAAAGATTTTACCTGGTGGTAGAAGCTAAAGATGGGGGCACCCCAGCCCTAAGCGCTGCAGCCACCATCAGCATCGACCTCACAAATGTGAACGATAACCCTCCCCAATTCAGCCAAGATGTCTACAGCGCTGTCATCAGTGAGGATGCCTTAGAGGGGGACTCTGTCATTCTGGTAGGTGCCAGCAGCATCCGAATTCTGGGACAAAACATCCTCACAGTGAAGACGTGAGCAAAGTCTGTCTTGGACTTTGTTCACATCTCCCTTTCAGGGTTTTTGTGCACCCTCCTTCAAGGATGTCTGTCACGCATGAGCTGTCAATAGCTCCTTCTCTGGTTCATGTATTTAAAAGAGTTTTACAGATTCATTTATATCAATGTATGAATTACTAGTAATTGCTTTCCTTATGGAAGCATATACTTTTAAAGAAAACACAAGATATCATAGATGCAATTTTCAATGATCACTCCTACGGGTGTGAGACAGCTAATCTTTTACTACAGAGTAACTGACCCGTGACTAAAGAGGGAATACATGGGTATAGACCCACTGGGGAATGGGGGAGTTGCACAAAAACACTGAAAGGGTGAGTTCTAACAAAGCCCATGATTAAAGAGGAAATACAGTCCATTGTGGTGGAAAGGCGTGGTGACATGAGTGTGAGCCTGGTCACATGGTGTTCACAGTCAGGAAGCAGAGAACAATGTTCCACTAGGTTTCTGTCATCATCTTTCTCATTCAGTCTAGGGCCCCAACTCATATGCCATCCATAGAAACACTCAAATAGTCCTCAGGGCTGTGTCTCCAAGTGATTCCCAGTCCAGTCACACTGACAATGAAGATGAACCGTCATGAGTGGCTGAGACCACTATTTGTAGAACTGTAAAGAGGTCATGAAATCAACCCTGTCAGTTAGCTCTGCGGTCTGACATAATTATCTCAAACCCTGGTGGAACCCAGGCCTAAATGATGGCAGACCCTGAGAAGGCACAGATTAATAAGGAAATAAAAGTGTCCCGTGTTAGTGTTGCCCTCTTTGTTCCCACCGATCTCCTCCACCAGGAACTTACCATGGGCAGGGGTCCTAGAACACTGTCAGCCAGAGACCCTAAGCATCAACCTTTTCTCTCTCTCTCTTGTGTTATACCTTGTCTTTGGTTTCTCTCTTTTCTATGAAGCTGATAGCAGAAGATGTGGATAGCAAGCCCAATGGGCAGATTCGTTTTTCCATTGTGGGTGGAGACAGGGACAATGAATTTGCTGTGGATCCCATCTTGGGACTTGTGAAGGTTAAGAAGAAACTGGACCGGGAACGGGTGAGTGGGTTTGGGTCATCCTTCACCATCCACACCTACACTATCACTTGACTCATGGGTGCTGACTCCATATGAGTAGCAAGGAAATTCAGGTAGATATTCAGGTTAAATACCTGAAAGAATTTTCTACTAATAATAGCTTTGACAGATGTTGAAGATCTTAGAGAAAAAGATAAATGTGTACCTTTCTGGATAGTTTGAATTTCAGTCCTTCATGAGTCAGAGAAAGAAGAACCCTTCAGCCAGGATGCTGTGCTCTGATTTCATTAGCAACTTTAGCACTACAGGAGCTGGTCAGAAAAGATTACCTGAAGGCACCCAGCAAAAGAATGATGCAGAAAATCCCTTTGTTCAAGATTGAGCTAACTGCCATTCTTGACTGAAACATACATTTTCAAAGAAAATTAAATATAGAAATGAATTATACAGCAATAATACTAAAAGGCAAATTGAATCTTCTCACTGATACAGCCCTCTAGCCCAGGAATACCAAAATCAGCAGTGCGGGTCAGTGGTGACAGCTGTACTGAACAAAGGTCGGGGAAGAGCCTCAAAGGCACTGGCCCCTCCCCTCAGGAAGAGCTAGAAATATCAGGCTGCAGTTTGGGTTGGCACAACTAGCTAGAGTATGATATTGTATCCTAGTGGGCAGAAGTTGGGACAATTCTAAACACCCTGAAATAATAGTCCAGCCCCCAACAAAGAAAGAGCCAGCACTAAATGTTGATGGTGCCAAGGTCTACAGGATATGTGTAAAGGCAGCACAGCCAGAGAATTCCAGTTATGTGCAGAAGGGAGGGGGTTCTGAAGTTCCTTATTGCCATCTCTGTGCCTGGCCAGGTGTCGGGATACTCCCTGCTCATCCAAGCAGTAGATAGTGGCATTCCTTCAATGTCCTCAACTACAACTGTCAACATTGATATTTCTGATGTGAATGACAACAGCCCCGTGTTTACACCTGCCAACTATACTGCTGTGATTCAGGTAAGCCAATCTTGTCAGGCAGGGACTACCTGTGTGGTTCAGTCTCCCCACTCTGCTCTGGAGTGTTGAGTTGGGGTGTCTGTACCAAATAACTTAGAGTAGGAGACTCCAGCAGCTGGTGTTCACCACTGACAGTTTCAGAGGCCAAAACAATCAAGATCAAAGCTTCCCTGGATCTTCCCCAGGGGCTCCTATTCTGGTCATAATGGTGACTGCTAGCAGTATCCTCACTCGACAGAAGAGACATGTTCCTTCAATATTTTCTATGAGGACACTAGTGCCTCAAAAGACTTGTCTTTTAGTACTATTGCACTGGGACCTAGTTACAACCTGGGGGTTATTAGTATCCAATATCAATTTGTCCCTTCCTAAGGAAGGTACAAAAACAACCTGTTTTTCCACCTCAATTGTTGAGAAGAGTTATTAAGTCCTGTTTCTTCTAAGTATTAGAAACATGTACACAGCCTGTCACTATGTGTCATGCAGGATTGTAGACACATTCTCCCACCCCTACGCACACACACACACTTAACAGCTGAGAGAGCTAAGGAACAGTAAGCTCAAGTAGTCCTTTCAAGATCACGCAGCTGGAACGGGTCAGGATTCGAACTTAAATCTATCATGCAGACATAATACGAATAATCTTTCTATAGTGACAGGCTGTCTTTAAGAAACATGTGGTTTTCTGAATGGGAGAGAGATCAATATGAACCAGCCCAGAACTTCAGGATAGAGCAGCCACTCCTTAAATTCATCTTCCATAGGCAATTTGTTTAGGACTTTAAATCCACCTTCCTTAAAGTCAGGCTGCAGGATAGAGTAACTTACAGCTGGTGTTATGCTTCCAGGGAAAAGTAACAGATTTCTCCATTAGTTTATTATTCAGCAGTTAGCTCTGTGCAGAGTACCCGAGTTTCATTACTGAATTCATTCCTAACAGGCCAGGTTAGGAAGATGTGCAGAGCCAGACTGTGAGTGTGGAAGACTTGGAGACACAGCTAGTGATGCCCATGCCTGACGGGTGCATGGGAATTCTGGCATTGGTGTCACAATGGCTCTCAAGGTCTCTCAGTGACTTTGTGAAGAAGTGAAGTGAGAGTGGCTGGGTCTCTAGAGAGCCCTTTAGGATAAGATGGAAGACCTTGAGTGTAGCCATCTATAAGGAGCCTCTTTCACCCCAGTGGCACTGAGCTGTCTGGTAAACAGGCTGAAACGCTCATGAAGCAAATGCTACCACTGTCTGCTCATCCCTGGTCCCTTGTCAGTGCAATCTTATCCCTTCCTGGAGAGACTTTGATTTACCTCTCATCTGCTGCTGCTAGGAACCACACATGTGATTGCTCTCCTCTTTCATCCTGGTACCTCCCCCCTCTTCCTCTTAGATCTCTGTGGCTATGGTCTACCAGGGCACTCTCTGCCTTACCCTACTTTGTACCCTCCTCAAACAATATACACTTTGTCTCTCAACATTCTGTTTACGACATACATCCATCAGCTGTACAGACCGTTTCAGATGCGGAAGTCAGCCAGGAGAGCACATGGCCAGGACCCCCTCCCCCTGCAGGCTGGGCCTGGCTGTAATTTCACACCCTTCCTTCTTAGACAGTGACCCCAAGGACACACATTCTCTCTCTTTCAGTTTCTTCTGTGGAGGAAATGGCCTTCAGAGAATGAGCAAACAAATCAATAAATCTTCTGTTTTGTGTGGTGCTGAGTATGTTGTCTGTGTAAAGCAGTAAATCTTCTCCATGATGACATGGTCCCACGCTGGGCTCCAAAGAGAGGCAGAGCCTGGAGCCTGATGAACAAGCAGGCGGAGATAGGGTAGAATAGAAACCTCTAAGGTGCTCTCCCAATGCCCTTTCAGAGCTACCTCTCTTCACACCCAGGGTACTGGGTTTATTCTGGCACCTGGTTATCATTTTCTTTCTTTTTCATTTCTCTCTCCTTTTTAATTTGAAATTTTTGTTATTTAAATCTCAACACAGGATCTCACTATGTAGTTCTGGCTTATCTATAACTCATTCTGTATTCTAGGCTGGATACAAACTCACAACAATCCTCCTGCCTCTGTCACCCAACTGCTAGAAATACAGGTGTGAGTCACCATGCCTAGCAACACATGAGTATCATAAACTCATTCAGCATATGAGCCTTGGGCTTAGCCAGCACCATGTAAAATGTTCCTCATCTTTGGAACCCAAACATACTTAATCCTTAAGCTGGTGTCCTTAGCACTCTAATAATGAAGCTGACATCAGCCCAGACAATAAGGCCAAAGTCTAACACATTGTGTCAAGGACATGAATATTGACCTTGGCTACTAAGAACTTCATCTGGTGCTTTCAAAGTGAAGAAGTTAAGCTTTGATCCCAGAAGAAGGCACAACTCATCTTCATGTTTCTGTTTTGAGGCTGTGTTTCCAAAATGGTTGCTGAAGTTCAAGATTCTGTCCCTCCTAATTCTCAAGTTTATAAATGTGCTATCTACTTTCTTTACCCTAGAGAAGCATGGAACAACCATAATGTGGTTGTAAGAATCCATTTGGTTTCATATACTGGAAAATTGACTACAGGTACCCCCAAAATACCTGATGTGACACGGTATTACAGTGTTGGGCCTCCACATAATCACAATACAACATAATCACCTTGTAACGGTATGAGACCCACATTTCCATCCCAGTGGGGTCATGCTTTCTGGGTCTGGGTGGATTTCCAAGGTCATCACCAAGACTGGGAAGAGTGTTACTCATGGAGGCTTCTAGACAGTTCTGAGAGTGAAGGACAAGTAGGACCTGGCTGTATCTTTGGAACCTAGGAAGCTGTTTGGCCAAAGGCCTGTGTTGTCATCTGCAGAGATTATCATCTCCTGGCACAGCAGTGAGGAGGCTGCTAGAGATGGGAAGGAGGATGCTTGCAACCCCAGTTATCAGATGACATAATAAGTACCATGGAGGATTCCTTATGGCAAAAGTTTAGCATTCTAGCTTGGCACTCCCAGCCAGTAATGATGTCTTTTGTTTTGTTTTTAATGTGATAAGTGTAATTTTAACTTCCTTTTTGCAACACTCTTTTATACAGGAAAATAAGCCAGTGGGTACCAGCATCTTACAGCTTGTGGTGACAGACAGAGACTCCTTTCACAATGGACCTCCCTTCTCCTTCTCTATTTTGTCGGGAAATGAAGATGAGGAGTTTGTGCTGGACTCCCATGGGATCCTGAGGTCAGCGGTGGTCTTCCGGCACATGGATTCCCCCGAATACCTGCTGTGCATACAGGTACAGCTCTGCTATCTATCCATACTGAGTGCTGCCCTCTCTCCTGTCTGCCCTTCTACCTCTTGGTTTGTTGTCCATTGTTCACTAAGAAGTCAACATAGTTCATGATAGTGAAGGAAGGTTCCTCTTCTAATCCCAAATTCAATTTCTTGCCAAGAAAGACAGATTCCATGTGTGAAACTGAACAAGAAGGAAGAGCATGGCACTGCTGAGCATGGACGTTTCTGGAGGTTGTTACTGCCAGACAGTTAGAGGCCTCAATACTGTAAAAAGTCCCAGGGTTCTAACTGACTCTTACCCATGCTTCTGGTGTACTAAGTAGGGTTTGCCACTCCTTGCTGAGGGAGGAGGTCAGTCACTGTCATAGGAGGCTTGGCCATGCCATGCCTTCCCCCAGTGAGGCAGGAGGGAACCACAGACTCAGTATTCCAATCCCAAAGTTCAATAGCCTTGTGATAAAAAATAAAAGCACAAAAAGGCAAAAATGGCAGGTGTGCAAGGGTCACAAAGAAGAGCCGTCATTTATCAAGCACGTGCAGTTCCTGCCTGTGACTTTGCCTATACCAACATTTGAATTCCAGCCACAAATTTGAATCCTGTTTCCACCCTCTGTTTCCCACAGAAACCTGTCTGACCGTTTTGAAGGGTGGCTATGGTGGCATGGTGATTAAACAGCTTATTCTCTTCCATTTCCAAACAAATTAGTAATTACTGGCTCTAAGACCATATGTGAACTCTCCAGTTGAGACCCTTTGTCCAACTATTTAAAGAATGTCATATCACAGAACCTAGACTCCAGGGACACGGAGAAGTTTCAGTGTCTTCTCGCAGCCCAGCACAGTGCTCTGCACAGCACGTCTGTATCACCTCTCCCACAGTAAGCCCTCTGACTTCCTCATAGGAAATACCTGCAAGGTCCCTTTTCTTCCTCCAAGGGACCTTGTTACTTTATCCTCTTGCCCATATTCCAACTCTCTCTGTGAGAGCCTGCTGGGTCATTCCTCTGGTTTCATTTTCTCCCAATCCAACTCTGCACCTATCCCAGGTTAATTTTTCTACTTTATGTCCTAAGAGACAAGCAAATGAAAATCCCCTGTCCAGTTCTCATTGGCAAGCTTTATAAATAAAGCTTTATCAGGACACAGCTGTACCTATTCATTTCTGCTTTTATGGCTGCTGCCACCTGTAAAGACAGAACTGGGTGTTGATGATCACATAACTCACACATCCTACAGTGCTGGTCATTTAGGGCTTACAGAATGTGCTTGCCAGCTAAGCTAAAACTATCCATTGCTGGCATAGCTTGCAAACCTAGGCCCTCAGCCTCAGATTTTGAATGCCATGGTCCTTAGGTATACATCTTTTCCCCATCCATCCCTGGCACAGACTCACAGTCCTGCCACCTTCTGTCCAGTGACATCATGTCTTTCTGATACTTTTCTGGCCTCTTGGATCCAGGTGGGCAACCTCAGGCAGATCTATGAAATTCAAACTCATCAATGTCCTTTGAGTTGTCCACAGTTTGACTTCAAGTTCAGAATACTTTGTCAAACTTCCTTCCACCTTCACATAGCCAAATAATCAGATAGTGGTGGTGATAATGCAAAAGCGACAGCCATATGCATAACTACATGCTAAATATTTGTATGGGTGATACCTGTATTTTCTAATCTCTTTCTCTTTTACTTCCCACAAGAACCCCAGGGGCTGATACCACTGTTATATTGTTGTTAAAGATGCAAAGCTTGAAGCTCAGAGAAGTCAAGTAACTTACTCACAAACCACAAACAGAATGTGTAGAAAGCTATGATTCAAAGCCTGTGTGGTACCCAGGTTTGGCTTTCTATTGCAAACTACATTTGAGGACACATTTCCTCTGTTGCAGCTCTGTCTGCAGGATCACTGGTTCCCTGAGGATCTGACTCATGGGGCCCTGACTTTGTTCTGAAGCATGGCACCATTAACCCCTCTACCATGAATGACAGGTGCTCATTAAGCATCTGTTGTCAAGGGGGCTGCTTTATCAGTTCCTCTATTAAGAGAGAAGGGGAGGTGCAAACTGCCCATTTCCCCTTTGATGTGTCATCTTTTGTATTCCAAATCTTACTATGATGTAATTCTCATTTAAGTAATGGCATATCTTCTCTGTGCCAATAGTGTCACCTGGTCCAGTCAAAAGGAAAGAATCCAGCAGAAAACAAAGATTCCTTCTCCAAGTGAGAACATCATTTATGTGCTGTTTTATGTCTTCTATCTAAAATGAGAATAAGGCAAGCCTGGTGCAGGCATGCTGGGTCTTGTAGCACTCCTGCCCATCATTCCTAACTCAATCCCAGTGGCTTTATTGTGTTGACACATTTTATTGCCCATAATACAGTACACAGAGAATGACTGAATGTGATAAACCCCTCCTCCACCTAAGTGCCCACGCTCAGCATTTTTCAGAATAATGACAAGGGATGCAGGAAAAAGTGAACCTGTTAGAGGGTCCAGATAACTTCTGTCTCATGGTGATATTATAATTACTATTCTTAACTCTTTGTCCTCCTCTTGATGTCCCTAGGCAAAAGACTCAGGAAAACCGCAGCAAGTTTCTCATACCTACATCCGTGTGCGGGTCATTGAGGAAAGCACCCACAAACCCACAGCCATCCCTCTGGAAATTTTCATTGTCACCATGGAGGATGATTTTCCAGGTGGGGTCATTGGAAAGATCCATGCCACAGATCAGGACATGTATGATGTGCTTACGTTTGCCCTGAAATCAGAGCAGAAGAGCTTGTTCAAAGTGAATAGTCATGACGGGAAAATCATTGCACTGGGCGGGTTGGACAGTGGGAAGTATGTCCTGAATGTCTCTGTGAGTGATGGCCGCTTCCAAGTGCCCATTGATGTCGTTGTGCACGTGGAGCAGCTGGTGCACGAGATGCTGCAAAACACTGTCACCATCCGCTTTGAGAATGTGTCCCCTGAGGACTTCGTGGGGCTGCACATGCATGGGTTCCGGCGCATCCTGCGGAACGCGGTCCTCACCCAGAAGCAGGACAGCCTGCGCATTATCAGCATCCAGCCTGTGGTGGGAACCAACCAGTTGGACATGCTATTTGCTGTGGAGATGCACAGCAGCGAGTTCTACAAGCCGGCCTACCTGATCCAGAAGCTGTCCAACGCCAGGAGGCACCTGGAGAATGTCATGCATATAGCAGCCATCCTGGAGAAGAACTGCTCGGGTCTGGACTGTCAGGAGCAGCACTGTGAGCAAGGCTTGTCACTGGATTCCCACGCACTCATGACCTACAGCACAGCGCGCATCAGCTTCGTGTGTCCGCGTTTCTATAGGAACGTGCGCTGCACCTGTAATGGTAGGTTCAGCTAAATGTCTCTTCTCCTCTACTGGTTATTTTTCTCATTGCTGTTACAAAATACCTGGCAAAGTCACTTAAGGAAGAGTCTATTTTGTGTCACAGCTTGAGAGTGCAGTCTGTCATTGTAGGGAAGTCATAGCGGCAGGAGACTGATGCAGCTGGTCACATGTATGTGGAGTCATATATGCCAAGGGTGGGGAATAGTGGGGCTTCCTTCTCTTTCCCTCTTTTAGTCAGTTCAGGACCCCATCCCATGGGTGATGCTGACCACATTCACAGTGGGTCTTCTTGGATCAATTAAACCTTTCTGAAAACACCTTTGTAAATACACCCATGGGTATTTCCACAGTGATTCTAAATCTAGTCAAGCTGACAGTGAAGATGAAACAGCATACTGTATCCCAATTCTAAGAATTTAGAGGTGGAAGGAAATGCCACTCTGCAGTAAACCGCTCATTCTACTAAATAGTAATTCTCACATGCCCAATATCTGGGATAGATACTATGACTGAAAAAAAAAAAAAAAAGAAATGGGGAAAGTTGGCCCCCATAGTCATAGAGCTATAGCTTAGTCTGTGAGTGATGGCCACTTCCAAGTACCCATTGATGTTATTGTGCATGTTGGTTCCTGAAATGCTGCAGCATCTACATTGACATTGCTGTTAGAGTATGAACCCCTGCAGCAGGCTCAGTGAGGGGCCGAATCCTGTTGGCAGAGATAAACTCAGGTGGGGAATCAGTAGAGGGCTTGCCTGAGGAAAGCTTAAAAGATGAGAGAGGAACCACCCCAATGAGAAGGAAAGCACTTCCCTCTCTGGAAGGAAGTGGCAGCCATGACAAATGAGACCAGACAGGGCCATGTGCACCCTAAGCCATTAGCTAGGATGAAGAATTAGAAAGGACCCTGAGGCAGCAGGAGCCATCGACTGATTAGAGGGGAAATGATAGGGCAGGGTATGTCCTTTACAAAGGGTACAAAGCGGGCAGGCTAGAGGGCGCTGCTGGCAATGAGTTAGGAAGCTGTAGCACAGGTTAACAGCAGCACCATTTGCCTCCCAGATAAACAGGCCAGATGTCTGAGAGCACGATCAAGGGGCAGGCTAACCTCAGAGCTGCAAAGACTAAGCTTCCTGCTTGTCATTGAACCTTGACCTTGGCTGGGCAAAGGTCAGAGCTGTACAGTCACAGGCTCTCAATAATCAGTGAGAAGAATTGTTCTCTCTGGCCCTTTTCTTCTCTTTGACTTGGGAGCCATAAATTTACAGCCCTCCTCTAAAAAAAAAAAAAAATACTGGAGTTGCTCTATCCAGTGTGAACTTGGTCCACGGGGATTGTGGCCAGAAGAGAAGCCATTTATAAAACATCCCTGTGGATAGCTGGGGACAGGCAGCAACTCAGGCCTCTTAAGCACAATTGTGGTTTCAGTTTGGAGAAATAGCTCATCAAAGGGAGAGCTAGAGGCCTCAACTCCCAGCAGGAGCCATTCTGACAGCCTCAGAGCTTCCTAGAAGAGTGGACACTTGTCCTCTGGAATGAATGACTTTGGCTTGTATTTTCATCAGGTAGATGCAGTGATGGCCAGAATTGTAACATATGTACTTTAGCTGCAAAGTAATTCAGCACAAGCATGTTAGGGGAAATGCATTTCTGGCAGATGCCACCATGAACAATTTATGAGTGCCAGCTGTCCAGGCCTTGTCTAGATGTCCTTTGCAGACAAACTGATTTATGCACCAAAGCTGTGCTAGAGAAACCGTGCAGTGATTCACAGCAGGGTTCAGAAGGAGTTCAGGACAGGACAGGGCAAACTCTGCAGGGGAAACTGCAGCAACACATCCATCCATGGACGCTGAGAACTCAGAGAAAATCAAAATGCTTTGAGGCAGCAATGTTCTAGACAATGGAGACTCCAAATGAAAAGCACACAGCTTCTTCCAGAGCCAATGATGCTGAGGCTTGAAGGAAGTTCAGGAATAGAAAACAAGTATCGCTCCTGTAGCCAAGGGAAGCCTTCTGTGATATGTGTCCACAGAGACCAAATATGGGTGCTCTTCAGATATAAATATGAATTAAACAGATGGGGATTAACCAGCTTAGCAAAGTATCTTTATAGGAAAGATGCAGCGATAGATTGATTGATTGAGTGATTGATTGATTGATTATTCTAATGCAATGGACTTGCTCTGTGGTTTATATATTATTCTGGTATTCTAAATGCAGTGTTTCAAGGTGATGTCCCACCCAAGACTCCTATTGTCCCCTTAAATCTTTCTACTCTCAGTTCACCTGGAATGCTATTTATTTTTGTGACTCTGCCCCCGCCTCCCCTC